AAATGTCTTTGATATTTTTCTTTAGTGACCACATTACATGAAAAAGTTAAACACATTTCTCAGTTTGAAATCTATGGAGTGTAACATCAGTATTTGTTTGCTGCGTATCTTGGTGCATAAGACCCGAGTATAGCTATGATGCTGCTAACTTTTAAAACAGAGAAGTCACTTGTGGTCCCTGCTCGCCCTTTGTATGGTTTGGCATAATAGACAGTAGGACAGTGGCGAGAGAGTGATGAATAATGGTCCGTCCAGTCAGGCTCCAGAAAAAATTGAGTAAACAAGTGCTTCTCAACTAATATGTTCAGAAAAACCAACAGGCCTTTTGTTTATTTGTTTGGTCCAACTGTATACAACACAAAGAAAAAGTCAGAAAAGGCATTACATACAAATAAATTACGTGTCCATGTCGAAAACAGATTTGACTTAAACGGCAACGGTGGATATTATATGACAGCCAAATTATGAGTTGCTTTAAATTGTTGCCACCAACCTGCCACAGGGAAGCATTTTCCCCTTTTCTTTAATAAGGGTGACAGTAGACAGTGTACCCTATGCTAAAGGACATAAGTAGAAATTAAAGCAACTTTCCTTTGCATAAAGAGAAATCAAACACTGTTTATGGCTGGCTGCAACTTACATTACATTTCATTTAGCTGACGCTTTTATCCAAAGCGACTTACAATTACCAATTACAGGGACATTCTCCCTGGAGTAACTAAGGACTAAGTGCCTTACTCAAGGGCACACTAGTGTTCCTGGCGGGATTTGAACTCACAACCTTCCGATCATCAGCCCACCTCACTATCCATTAGACCACCACTATCCCACTTACATAATTATGTGTAATTTCACTCAGTTAAAAAAAAAAGATTGAATCAAAGTTTTATTGAAAATTAGAGAAGATATCACACTGATATAGTAAAAGAAACTGGGGATTTTCCCCCAGTTCAATACAAAAGTAGTAAACAAGAAATGGTCACTAATGAAGTCCCAACAACATTAATGCAATGCACATGGGCCGAGTAGTTGAAGATTTTCAGTCACAACTGGCTCCCTGTCACTTCTTAATTGATTTTTTAACTGACTAATGAGCAGTGTTGCAGCCAGTGAGTGGATAAGCTCAATATCTTTTCTGTCTTTAACTGGTCCGTCTTCCCTCCTCTCCAGGTGCAAGAAATGGGACGTTCCCATCGAGAAGATCTACAACAAAACCCAGAGAGAGAAGTTTGCCTGGGCGCTTGACATGGCTGAGAAAGACTATGAGTTTTAAACATGCTTGATGTTTTTACCTTATTTTAACATGCCTTTGATTGTAGAGATGGTTTGTAGTTGATGTCAAATGACTCCACTGTGTGGTTACTGCAGGGCTGTGAAGGAGGAGGCTTTGTTGCAGCTGCTACCACCGTTTAATAATTGTGCTGTATATATATGGATTTGTTTGTGAATATAGGAAAATAACTTCACAACCATTTGACCAAGCCAAATGGCACATACAAATGACAGTAGTGTGTATGTAGCTGCAGCTATCTGCCCATAATAAAACCCCTATGAACACATTAGTATTATCTTTTGTCAGACATGACTGTACTGAAATTTGTAAGCCATCGGAAATATTGAGACATTCTATATTCTCATAGAATAATGAAATAATAAATGTTTGTATGGGAGATTGTGAGGGACAACATGAAAGACAGTAGGATGAATTTCAATTTATGTAATCGTGTGAAAGATTGGTACAATAAAAGGACAGACTGATGACAGCGTGAAGAATAGAAACCCTAGCACTATGATAATATAATTATTAGCACACAGAACGTCATCTTACTTTCCATTTAATTTAATTTTGCTGTTTATTTCAGGGATGTACATATGTTTTGTCCTTTTTCAGTAACTATGATTCAGTGTTTTTTAAAACGTGTGCTGTATGCATTGTCCAAAAGAAGCTCTTCATTGCCTATATGCAACTTGTGTGTGTCTGTTTCCACAGTTTTACAATGGTGACATTCCTCTTGGTTACTTGAAACAGCTGTAGTACAGGATCATGTCTTTTGTACTAGAGCTAAAAGAGACAGAGACGCTTTTCTAAAGAGGTATGTGGATTTTGCCAAAAAGAAATCACAGCTTGTCTATCAGAGTGTCCTCGTTAATTTCCAAATGTGAATGGATATAACAACTTTTGTCATTAATATTTCTTGGTATTTGATCATTTATCACACAGCGATGGGTTGGATGCTTATTTTGTTTGGGCTTTGTAGTTTTCAGAATAAAACATCGACCTTGTATTTTTTGTCCTTGTGTTGTCCTTTTATACATTTATATGGATTGAAACAAAACAAACTTTTTCTTTGGAGCCCCCCCAACACAAATAGTCAGGCTCAGTGGCGGCGCCAGAGATTTATTTTGGGGGTGCTGTGGGGTAGCTTGACGTTTCATAGAGGGTGCTCAAACATTTAGGGTTTCCCATTAATGTACCGGTCGCTACAGTGGAATTTTCTACTACAACAATCCCCATGCAAATACACAGTGTACCCGCGACAGTTACAGTGAAGGCTTGATAATCAGCTCACGGCATATAGGTGTAAGCAGGGGTAAAGTGCTATTTTTATAGGTGGTGTGTGGACCACATAGGGGGGGTCCGGGAGCATGCTCCCCGGGAAGATTTATTTTTAAATATTGAAGTTAAATGCATCAATCTGGTGCACTTTGAGAGCAAAATGAAGCGATCTATGGATACCTCTCTCAACACCCATATGAAACAGAACTGTAAACAGATTTACTTTTTCTTTATGGATATTTTACAAATCACCCTTTTAAACTTTATTCTTGTTTACTGTCATATAGTATTTTATACCTGTTTTTCATTTATTCTCTTATTGTTTTATAACTATAATGATCATATAAACGTGTGCCTTGGAAATAATTATTTACATTAATGGTGACCAAAACATTTGAGACCCACTGAGATAACACTGAGAGAGTCCTTTAGCTCACTGAGTCTCTCAGTCTGACAGGAGAGGACTCTCCTCCACTTTGTTGTTGAAAAAACTCCTTATATCCGTTAGCGTAGCTCGCTAGCACCAGAAGCTAACAACAACAATCTCCGGTACCGGTGCGCTCTCTCTCTCTCTCGCGCGCACACAAAATGGCTCGTTCCACACACACAGAGCCGAGCTTTAATGAAACACAGAGACCCAGACGTAATAGTACTGTACTGTATCATATTATTTTCGAATCAATAATTTTTCAAATTATGATTTTCTTTTTTTTCTTTTTTTTTTAATAACCATTTTTCCTCCTGGTCTCTCGTGCCCCCCCTGGCATGCCTCTGCGCCCCCCACTTTGAGAACCACTACCCTAAATGAATGTAATAACGAAACCAATGACTGGCTGGTATTGGTGGTACTGATGTTGCATTAAATTACAGTATTTGTTACAGGGGCGGATAGCTACAAAGCTACCTGTTAAGTTGACATATTGTGATGTTAGGTTGAGGAGTGAGCTTATTATGAAGTACAGTATCAGCACTCAGCAGTATCAGAAGGTCTGCTTCTTTAAGAGGCCGACAACAGGCTCTCCTACTGAAGGCATGAGATGCGTCAAGCCAACGGGTGACACGCAAGATTACCGGAAGTAAGCTAATTGTATGAAATTAAAAGAACCAAATTAAAAGCACATAATTAACACCAGCAAGAAAAATTGAAAATATCAAACGTTAACATACTTCTTGGAAAGGGGTCAAAAAGGGGCTTTCCAAATGTACTGATGTAAAAAGTACAATTTGTATCTTTGTAATGAAGTGGAGTAGAAGTATTTGGTAGCAGAAAATTGAAATACTCAACTTGTCTCAAACGCCAGACTTAAATGACCCAAGCCAAAAATAACTAAACTGATATACCATATACTGATAGCAAGAGTCGTGATACTGTTTTTGTTAGTCAAAGTGTACTCAAGTACAGTACTTAAGTACCATTTTGAGATACTTGTACTGTACTTGAGTATTTAAATGTTTTTGCTACTTTGTACTACCCCACAACAAATCAGAAGTATATAGCGTATCTTTATTCCACTGCAATTATTTTATACCTTTAGTTACTTTGCAGATTTGGACTAATAAAGTGAAGTATAAACAACAATTGAATAAGACTTAGTTAAACCTGGAGTAACACAAGCCACCCTGCAGTATACAAAGTATTTAAAAATAGCTGCACCTTTACGAGCTTTGATAAACAAATTAATGCATCAATAATTATAATCAAAACATTTCATATTATACTCAAATGGGCCAATCTGCATAATGAGTAATTTTACTTTTGGTACTTAAAGGTGGGGTATGTAATTTATTTCAGAAACACTTTTTGTTATATTCCATGGAATGCTCTTAACATCCCGATAGCAATGAATATATGAAATGCTTTAACAATAAATACATAAATTCATCTGTGGAAGCCGTGGCGCTGTAAAAGGTACGACCAATCATCTGAGCCGGCCCGGCTAAAATAACTGGATGGCCTACCTGCCTGTCAGCCTTCCATCTCGTGCACAAACTTATCTCGTGCCCTCATTGGTCATGTGCACGTTCGTGTGTGTTGGAGGAGGGGCTCTGTAAGGAAGTGGCAGATTTTTTCCGGTTGTGTATTTTCAAATTCTAGCGCACTCGAGCTGGTTTCTCCAAAATTACCTACCCCACCTTTAAGTTAAAATTGTATGCCAATATGTTTGAACTTTTACTTGAGTAACATTTTGAATGCAGTACTATGACTTTTAAAAGAGTATTCCTAGAGTTTAGTACTTTTACTTAAGTACAATATCTGAGTACTTATTCTTCTTTTAGATAAGACAAGATATGATGCATGATGAATCAGAATCTGCAAAGGGTTCAGTTTTCTCATTCTCAACAGTAGGCTAAACAAGTTCCTCGATACGACTTTTATTGTGAAAACCCGCAGCGGAAGCCTGGTTTCTGACTCTGGCCAGAGTGATGCTGGTTGGGGGGGGGAAGGGCCTGAAGAGCTGGATCTGAGAGCAGACAAACTTGCGTAGTCTCTCCACGGTCCTCGCTGTCTGCCTGCCTCTCTCTATGGACGGCTGGAGGGCACAAGAGGAAACGGGGATTGTTGTCGTCGGGACCGCAGCGCTTTTCCAGGGCCCAGCTATGATTTAATCTTGGAAAACTGGGGTGTGTGGGGGGAAAAGAAGAAGGAGAAAACCGACGGGAGCGTGAGAGGAGATGTGCGGTCGGGCCGAGATTGCGGCGGTAGGTACAGCACAGCAGCCGACGTGTTGTTTTCTAGTTTAGCTGAAAAGAGAGAGGGGGAACATTTCAGAATAGCTACTGCTACCTGCTCCCCTTTTTTCAGGTTTAAAAACCCCACTGTGATAATTCCTTGTGGCCCAGCGAAATGCTAGCTCACACCGGCCCCATTTCCACGCTGTGAAAATAGCCTTCTTGTTATCCCACTCTCTGCTGCCATTCGCCTACAGCTTTATTCACAGTAACGTGAAGCTGCTTAAATCCAAAAGGAAACTTTCTTTTCCCTGTGGGACGGACGGCAGCAGGTTACAGGCCTGTTGTTGGTGTTAGAAATCAGTCTAAATTCGATTAAACCTCCCCGCTGCTAATGTAGGATTAAAGGTGCAATCATGTTGGTGAGAAAGTTAAATCATCTTAAATCAACACGTTTTCTCCTTTCTCGCCTGATGTTTTAATGTTGCATCTGTCATGTATTGACTGTTAATGATAAATCAGTTTCTTTTGGGATTTAATACTGTACTTAGTGTTGAGTAACCTTATACATAACCCACCCTAAAATCAATACCATCCTATATGTTATGAAATGTTATCGGCCTACTTTACTCACAGTTTTATTTCGCTTTAAAACAAAACTATTACATAGCCTGAGGAGATGCTTTCTATATGCTTATTTATGTACCAAATTATGTGCTTATTTTCTCTGGGTTTTTCAGTTTGATCCCAATTATGACATAACCTGAAATCAGTCCATATTTATGTAAAACAAGCAATGTGAACCTTTCATAAAAAAATTATATTAAAATCTTTATTTATGTAATGTCGAACTATTTTACAGTATTACAGTATTTTAATCCCTGGTAGCATTCAGAAATTAGTGTAAAATGTCATCTTTTTTGTCAGAAATGCCTCTATTCCAAAAAGTAGAATGATCACTCACAATATATTTGGGTTGAATATGATTTTATGAATGAGCATATTTCAGGCTTAATGCCTCTAATGGCCAACTTTACATATCTTTCAAAATATGCGTAGAAAAAAAAACTATATTTGTAGAAAATATGTGTTTTTACAGGAAGATTAAATGTATTTAAAATGTCTAATAATCTGTTTTCTCTCATACACTGTTGACATCTTGTCTGCAAGTGCATAAACAAGTGCTGCATATGTACGGTGAAGTTTCCAGTATTATTTAAAACGGGCCCCCCTGACAGGCAATACTGCCAATGTGTGTGTGAATTACTGAGAAGTCCCTTGTGAATTGTTGTTTCATGCTCCCGCCCCCCTCCGCTTCTTCTGCTGTAGGTATCCCTAGGCCTGGACTGAGCAGATTGTTCTAAAAGGAAACGGACAACAAACAGGGGAAGTGAACATGGCGGGGACCTCAGGCTTCTTTTCAAACGGACCCGTCCCGTGGATGGACAACGACACAGAGATGAACAACCTGTACCGAGACCTGGAGCTCGGGACAGTACTGACACTGTTTTATTCTAAGAAGTCCCAGCGGCCAGAGAGGCGGACATTTCAAGTCAAGCTGGAGACCAGGACTATTATCTGGACTCGTGGCACGGACAAAATAGAGGGAGAGGGTGAGTACTGTGCAGACACAAACATACACACAAACAGGTAGTCATGCTCCAGACTGCTGTTTATAAATGAGAAGGTATTCATGCCTTAACTGGTTGGTTTACATACACTCAGGAATATGGAAAGTACACAGTGTTGTGAGCTTGTTTGAATGGCACACAAAATACCTGGTTAGTGCTGGCGACATGATGGGGAATGATGTTACATAGAACAAAAGGACTTGGTGAAACTAAATATCACTCTCTGACTTAGTGCATTAATAATTGCGACCACAAGTTATTTACATGCTGTAAAATTTGAAGAAATAGGAATTGTTAATGTGGAAAGGAAAGGAAAGGAAAAGGTAAACAAGTCAATTCAAGACCGCCTCACAACAACACCATTGTTTATTATTAAAACAGGAAAGATTATATTACAATATTACTCTGATTAGCTCCTGAAAGTATTCCATCTCAATTAAAAGCATAGGATTATAAAATATATGGACAGCACAGCTGTGAATCTTGGCAGACATAAAAGGAAATGCCGCTGTTGTCCAGCAGTGGATAAATCACATCTCTGGTATAAATGCAGGGTCGACTACAGGAAGAAAGTACAAATCCTGCAACTCTTTTTTTACATTAAAATTAATATACTGTAGTTTACCAGGAATCTGAAATTCAGGTTAATCTTCAACCAAACAGCCCGTCATACTGAGGACACGCAGGCCTTCAGTGAGTTGTTAAGTCGTCTGTCTCTCGGTAGCAGGATGCCTTGTGCACAGCTGCACTCTGCTCCGGATGCAGCAAAAAGAGCATAAAAAACGGTTTTTTTCACACAGCGGTATCATCTTCTCTGCTCACACATGAGCTCATAGCTGCAATTTGATACTACTGGAGAGGTGAAATTGGCCCAAGCGGCTCATTAATGTACATAAATAGAATATGAAGGGTTTTACTGGAAGTGTGTGATCATTTGAGAACATTTTGGCCCGCTGTACTTACCCCTTATCGATGGCAGTGTGAGAGTGATGTGCATTAGCTGTGGAAACGGCTCTCTAGTTCGTTTCCAAATACAACATTCTGAGAAGCTTTTTGTTTTTTAATCAAAGTGGATTTTCCATGTTTTCACACCCAGATTTATTTATTTGTTGAGATCTTTTCTGCTTGTTTTTTGCTCATATGTTGGCCTATCTTACTCAACTTGTGTATATATTGTGACACAATAAGATGTATGTCTGGCTTGACAGAGCAGGATGTGGTCTTGCAGAATAAATGGTGATAACAGACGTGTTAAGAGTGTTTGCATGTTATAAAACACAAAGGCTGGATACTTAACACGACCAAACTCCACATAATGCCGCACGTGAGTGTTTGTTTGTTTTGATGCTGGCAAGACTGTAGTTAAACATCTCACAGGTCTATTGTACATTCACTGAATTCCCAGAGGACGAGAGCAAACTTCTGTTTTCCAGTGTATGTTACTGATAATAAAGTAAAACACACATGACTCAGAATCATGTTTGAATGGTGACACATGTTTTTGCTGTTTCATCCTCCTGACAGTAAACAGACACATACTTTACTAAATTCATTCAATTCAATAATAAATAATAGTGCAAGAAGTCTATATACATGTAAATAGAATATGATATGAACAGAATATGAAATTAAATAATGTACATTAAGACAAAATTAAATGTGGTTTATTGCGGCGATAACTATTTATATGAATAGGTAGATTGTAAAAGAGCCTTTTCTGGGATTTCTTTTATGAATGAGCTTCCACTTTACACTCTCAAGCTATAATTAACTTTGCTGCTCTGGTAGTGATACCTCCCATCTTGTTCCGTGGAGCCCACCACATCGTCAGATCCTCTTATGTTTACAAATCGTTTTCATGTCAAACAAAGACTGCAGGAGCTGATTCCACTGCCTAGCACTGCTTAAGTTTAACGCCACAAAGTAGCTATCCGATGAATAACTCTGGTTGTATTTGGCCATGATGCAGAGGGATGGACGATATAGTATCTGTGATTATTAGGAGCACTCAAAATAAGTAAATTGAGGAAAAATGGTGGTGATAATTTTTGAACCTCTTCACATGAGTGACTTAAAAAGCCTTCTAGCTTGATATTACGGTTAAGAAGTGAAAAATATAGCGTGATTTATTTTTGAAAAAAATTAAGAAATGATCAAGGCAGAAAGAACAGACGCACTGTTGATATTGTTTTTTACGATTTGTTCAATCAAAATAGTTGTTTTCACTAAAAGAGATATATGTCCTGCTTTAAAAGTATTTGGTTCCCAGCTAAATGTAAGGTACAGTCAGTCCAGTATGTTTCGTGCCATTGGAAGACCTTTTAAAGCTTATTTTGATGATCCATGAGATAATATCATGTACTGCGACTGTTTTGGCGAGGGTAAACATAACATGAAATTCTCTTATTGTCCAAGGTCTAATGAGCAGTACTGGTATTTTGATGATTAACATAGCTTTACATAAATGAAGAATTTGCCTTAAGTACATTTAGCTATATAACAGTAATTCCAAAATCCAAAATATCTTCTCGGCGTAAAGCTATATTTTTCTTCTGTGAGGTGATTTTTCCTTCTGTAAAATGTCCCACTTAGTTTGTATCTCGTTCGTAGTTCTTTAAAAAACACATCTAAGATATCCATATCAAGATTTCTTTTGTGGTTAAGTGTTAACCAATTAATTTTTTTATTTTCTTTAATATCGCCCTTAATAAAATAAGTCAGGCTGAGCACATCATATATGTTACAAGAATATAAAATGACAAATACCCTGATATATTATGCAAACAATCTTAAACAGGACAAGGAGAACGTTGTTTATATGGTATACAATACGTTTACAGTTCTTCGTGAATGTGCGTGACAAGAACCTGAATTGTGTTGAGCACCTTTTATAATGTTACAGAAACACATGTCATTGATGAATATGGGCCTGAATGTGGCTCTGTGTTCACATTTCAACAACACTTCTCTGGAAAAGCAGTGAATAAGAACTCAGTCTGTATTTCCAAGTCACACTCAGAGCTCTGTTAGACCCCGACTCACACTGAGTGTCCCCTGCAGAACTAACCCAACAAACAACTAGGACAGCTAAATTACAGACAACAGATTTCCCCCACAGCTTTGAGTCATGATGGCATGCAACAACTCCTGTAAAACAGATCTGCTAATGTCGCAGTAGCATATCCTCTCTCATATAACTGTAATAGTTGATCATTCTGAAGATTAATGGCTTTATATTACGAGACTATTAGTCGATCAATTGATTTGGTGATCATTGGCTAAAAATTAATTAGAACTTCTCAGTTGTATTGGCTGTTTATCTTTGTTTCATGTCGTTGTAAACCCTAATCTGTGGACTGTGACACCGGGATTAACACTTTTACCCCAGTGTTTTACAATCTATATACTTAATGATTGATTGAGACAATAGTCTGCAGATTTGCCAATTAAATACCTCTTTGCTCCCCCCTCCCTGCTCACTATATAGATACATATTCTAAGGTAACAGTTTCAAGTGATTATACAGTCAAAGTAAAACAGAACAATTGTATTCCATTTCTGTGAATAGTTATTTATAACGTTAACATTTCACAATAATAGATATTAAATGTCAGCTTTTTCCTGGACCTTTCTTTAGAAATTAACATTGTAATGAATTAATTTACCTTCTTGTAATATTGTCAATGTGGGTTGAATTCCCAGCACACATCTGTCATTTCTGAGGCTGTCATCTAAGCTGCTCTTTCCATACCTCCCACAAAAGTCTGATGTCATTTCCGAATGACACACTTGGCTGTCAGCCCAGGTTTTTGTGATAAATATATCGACTAATTAGTTAGATATTAGCCTGCAGGCATCAGAATGCACTTTAAAAATGGTTTATATCTGTAGGAAAACATTGATGTAAAGATTAGATTGTGACTGGAGAACATGAGCGGTTCCACAGCTGACTTGCTCCATTTGAAATTTGTTGGAAGGGGAACACAATCCATGTTTTTTTAGCAGGGGGGGAAATCCTCTGTCTAACTTTTACCGACATGATTTCAAAGGAGCTGATATGGATCAGCTGACGTGTGAACACACACTGAAACATTTTCACGGCGCTGGGTTGCACAGGCGATGAAAATTGCAATATGAATGTCTTTATCAGCTTCAGTCTAATGTTAGAAAATATACAGTAAAGCTTTTTATATATTCTGTGTTTAAACATTTAAAGTAGCTATGGCTGTAACTAATGATTATTTTCATTATTGGTTAACCTGTTTATCTATTTTCTACGATTAAATTAATTGTAAGACTAAAATCTAAATTTTGTGAAACTAACACGATAAGCATTAAAATAAGTGAAAAATATGAGTAAATAAGTTTACTTTTTTTAGGCAAACAGAACATTGTGGTCTGCATTTGCATTCATCACAGTCCCTTCAGATGCTCACATTTAGGAAACTGGAATTTGGAAAGGTTTTGACATTTTTCCCTGATTAAAGACTCAAATAAAGAATACCAAAACAGTAAAAAGAAATGAACATGACCAACGGTTAAGCCAGAGTTTCCGTTAGAATTCTTTTTTGCCGGTCAATATGTCCGTTAAAGTTTAAATCTTCCGGACAAAATGAGAAAAGTGCCGGTCAAAGGTCTTCTTTGTTATTTATTGAGCTTTAAAACAAATTGATATGATTCGATATTAAACAAACTAATTATAGTAGATTAACTACATTATTCAAAAGTGTACAGTAACTTATAATAACACGGATAAACGGAGCGCTCTCTCTCTCTCCTGACAGCCCGTCAGTATCATGCAGCTCGCGGATCCAGTAATGAGTGACCCGACAGTAAAAATATACATATCTATGACTAGTTTAGGTAGTTTGAGAGGTAATTAAAATAGCTACGTGTGATATTCTAACCTGAAGTGTGTGTTTTGCTCCGCACACCGCTGCAGGTGATCATGCAGAGCTGCGTATCGACTCGTCAGCAGCAGCCGATCTCTCTCTCCCGTCAGATTAGACTTCACTCGCGTTTATGTCCATATCGATCAGATCTAGCTAGTTCTAGCTTATGATATGACTACCTGCTTATTAAAAGACACCTAAACAATAAGCATCGCTATGCAACCGGGTGAGGCCGCAAAGTATAGCGCAGCATTATGCATTTGTTTACATGCCCACCGGAACCCTGAGGCATTACCAACAGATCAACGCACAATCAACCCATACAGGACATCTCTTTCTCCACATTAAGTGTTAGACATTAGAATTGACTATTCTTGTCTGTCACATAAGTGGCGCAACTGATGCTGTATTGTGCTAAGGGGAAATTATTTTGACCGGAGAGATTTAGATTTGCCGGTCTTCAGCATATTTTACCGGTCAAAGTCAAAGCACAAGATCATTTATTGTACTCTTTTGTATGTCTGTATATGTTTAGACATTTAACATGTGAAAAGCTCCCAAGTAATGAATCCGCAAATCAGCTATTGAATAGCCAGTAATATCTGACAATGTAAGATAAAACCCAGCCCTGGCAAGGAGTGATATAAAAAGTGTGAAAGACAGGATGGAGTAAGGAGGAAGTGTGCTGCAGGATACCTCCTCTCATCTCCTTTGGTAAGGATACACCTCTGGCTATCTCTTTATTTCCTGCATCTGTCTGAGGCTGCCTGCAAATAGTTTGACTTAAATGTCAAAGTGTTGTCTAACACCTGAACCTGTCAGAGCAGTCTTGCTATCTGCAGCACTCATCTGGCAGGTGAAGTCAGTTTGAGATATGATAAACGATTGGAGGATTAGAAACTTTGCAAAGTTATGTGTAAGAAGACATATTTTATTTCCTTTCTAATGCTTGAGAAAATAACACGCACATGATCACCTACACACGAGCACAGATGTGGTGTGTAGGCGACAAAAGCACAGGATGTGTGGTTCTGGGGCAGGAAGAGGAGCAGGAGCTGAAATAAGTGTGTGTGTGTTTGTGTGTGTGAGGAGAGTCCCTGCTGTAGGTTTTAAACTGTTTTCTAATACATGGCTGATAAAACCCGTGGAGCTACTTCACAGCCTACGCTCTTGTGAAGTTTGAGTGCATATTTCTGCCGTAACAGGTTCTTTTTTCACTTGCATCATTTCTAAAGATAAACCATAACAACAACATCTTGGACTATGCAGTGCTTCTTTATCCAATGTAGAGGAAATATACTGTATATAGAGTAGCTTTGTAGGAAGGGTTGTTAAGTTGCAAAGCACTTTTATATGCCTTGTCAAATGCCCTTTGCACTATAAAATATTTAAAGCATTGCAAGCACTCTTAGTCACACATACCCAGATACAAAATGTTTGAGATGTGTTTGATCTCTATTGTAGATACCTAACCAGGCTGTCGTCTCTTGTTTTTCACATTAGTAATCTGTGGTTTTGGTTGATTTCACTTGTGAATTGCAAACTGGGGTTCATTTAGGGTCAATAACTTCGTCATCTTGATTTGAAAACCATATCAACAATGTTTCTCGACTGAAGGTCTTTACTGGAAGTCTACCTTAATGTGGTTTATGTCGTAGCTTCAGCTTTTTATGTGGTCGGTGGTCCTTTAGATACTCAATCTCGCCGTGTGTTTGTCTCTATGCTGTTACTGTTCGAGGCAAATCAAAATCACTTGTTATTCAATTATTTAACAGTGTGCTGATTGAAGCAATTTAGTATTATTAGTTTTGGACTTTATTTTTGTTTTTGTGAAGATATGATCAAAGGGTTCCATTGCCAATTTCTGCCATCCAAATTCATATTTCCCGATTGGGACAAATCATAACAAATCAGTTATTTAGGGTTCTGTTTTACACATAGGAACAGTTTCATCGGGTCTAACAGTTCAGCGTATTGAACATCATTTTGATTATTTACATTTTACGATGAAGCCTATTAAAATCAAAGGTTTCAAAGGTTTATTTTTTTAAACACAGCTACAGTGTAGTCAATGAAAATCTTGGGTCACAGGTTCCGAATATTCCTATTATTGTGATTTTAACCATAATTTCATGATGGGGAAAGTTCTGTCTTTTTCTAACTGTTTCTTTCTGTGTGTGCGTCTGCCTCTCTAGTTGACATTCGAGAGATCAAGGAGATCCGTCCTGGACAGAAGTCCCGGGACTTTGAGCGTTATGTGGAGGACTCTGCGACGCGGCTGGAGCAGGCTCACTGCTTCGTCATCCTGTACGGCACCGAGTTCCGCCTTAAGTCCCTCAGCCTGGCAGGTAAGCACAGCAAAGGCTTGCATACTTTCAGTTACACTTTCCATCCTATTTATGAACACTTCTGCTAATATGGTCCTGAGCCACAAACTGCCCATATTTTACAGGTTGTATGATTTCATGTGTTTTGTTTCTGGACCTGTTTTTTGTAATGGTGAGACTTGTGTTTATGACTAAATACATCCTTAATGTTGCTTTAATGAACAATCAAGTCAAATCAAATTATATTGTAACAGTAATTCACAACCCTGCCTCAAAGGGCTTCACACTTTGTACAGTGTGAGAGCTCAAAGGATTAGTGACAAAAAAAAAAAAAATCTGCAAAAACTTTGATAATCACTTAATCTTTTCAGTCTTTTTTTTTATGCAAAATGCCCCAAATTCTCGTGTTCCAGCTTATCAAATTACTATTTTATTTTCCATATACAACATTAAATTAAATGGTAAATGTTTTAGTATGCCAGTCAGACAAACAAGTGTGTTGAAGACTTCACTTTAGCCCTTTGTAATAGTATTTAGCCTTTCATAGACAAGTAATAAGGAAAAGTATCACCTGATTCATTAATGATGATCTGTAGTTGCAGCCTGGAACAAAAGCACAGTCTTCCACTTTAAAACCTCTGGTTAGGATCATTGATTCAGAAAAGAAAAAAACCTTCCCATTAAGATATGTTAATGGTAACCAAAAGAGAAGTAAAGAAAGTATTTCTAAGTCAAGTGTTGATTCGTCCTCAGCAACGTCAGATGAGGAGATGACCATGTGGGTGAAGGGGTTAAACTGGCTTGTGGCCGACACACTGAAATCTCCAACACCGCTCCAGATCGAGAGGTAACCAAAACACATCACATCTCAAGCTGTGACCACCATGAGATAATGTAATGTCCTTTTTGTGTTCAATGCATTAAACCTCTTAATTCTCTTTTATGTTTAGATGGTTACGTAAGCAGTTCTACGCCGTTGACCGCAACAGAGAAGACAGGTAAGCAAACTCAATTTAGAAGATTTAACCTCAAGAGATAATCAGATCAGCCTCACAGGAAATGGACGTAATTTGTTTGCTGCACCAGTTGTGTGTCCTTTGCCTAGTTTAACGGGCAGTTAAAGCGGGCAGACTATCTGCGCTGGGCTGGTCGGTGTCTGAGAGAGAGTTTTGTTGAGGTGTAGTGAAGGAACTAACCCCTCAGCCGCACACCAGCACCTCTTCCTGCAGCAGGAAACAGACTGCAGAGGATGGTGATGTACAGCAATGTTTGTCTGTTACATCCCTGGTGAAAGAGCAAGCCTTTGTTACGCTGTAGGGCTATTGTCTCCTCTAGTCAAAAATTCCAGGCTGTGTAGTAAAAAATCAAGCCGGCAAGATTTGACAAAGCACGAACGGTGTGTGTTTGCAGGGTTTCCGCTTGTAGTAGATTTTTAAAAAAAAAACGACTTCACCAAAACCAGGTCTTTTAGAAGTCTTATTGTACGTGCATATTCATGTTTGTGTTGGATTTCTCAACAAAACCTGTTAATTGATGTGATGTGATGTGTTTAGGATATCCTGTAAGGATCTAAAGAGCATGCTGAGCCAGGTCAACTACAGGGTGCCCAACATGAGGTTCCTCCGAGAGAAACTTCCGGTAACCTCCTTCTGCTTATCACAATCCACCTTCCCACTCCATCTCCCTGCCCACTTCCCCCTTCAATATGATGTTAGAGATTTATGATTTGTCGTTAACAGTCTTTCTGCCCGCCCTCCCATTTCTCTGCCTGTCTTTTTAGGACTCCGAGTTGAGAAATGGAGACGTGTCCTTCAGCCAGTTCGCTCAGCTCTACCGCAGCCTCATGTTTGATGCTCAGAAAAACGTAAGTGCATTTTATGTTTCCACAGATAGTTCTGTCCCAGCACTCTCACCCCCCATCTGATGCCCTGCCAAGGCACCCTTCCTCCCTCCCCCCCACTCCATCTGTCTCTTCTCAAATGGCTGCGAGATCAATATGGACCAGTTGAAAAACCCACCAAACCCCTCTGGTGGAGGCCATTAGGACTCACTCACATGGATGAGGAGGCTGGCTGGCTGGGGTCGGATTAAATGGATGACCTCAGTGCCCCCCCCCCCCCGTGACTAACAACCCAGCCCCCCTACCGGATGTCGATGCCAATCTACATGACTAACTACGCACACTGAAAGGACAGCATGTACATTAATAAACTGAAATTTCCCTTTTTTTGCCCCGTTCTTTCAGATGGAGATCCCGTTTATGCAGAGGTAGATCAAAACTAAACGCACACATTTAATCTCTATGTTGTCACACACACATCTGTACTGATGCAAACCATTGCTTTCTCTGCCAGGTTCATTGACAGACCAGAACAGAAGATCTCCCTCGAAGACTTTCAGGGCTTCCTCCTGGAGTCTCAAAAGGTAATATCTCTGGGTCCTTTTGAGATTTCACCACAGATTCTTTTTATTTGCTTGTTCCAATACGTGTGTTCTGTATGTGAATCCAGGAAATGTGGGCAGCAGACAACAGCAAAGTTCAGGAGTTCATGTTCGGCTACCTGAAAGACCCCCTGAGAGAAGTGGAGCAGCCTTATTTCCACCAAGACGAGGTAAACACGCATCACAGCTTCTCCCACTTTCTGTTCTCACTCTTTTGCTTACTAATGGAAAACATTTTTGAGTTTCCGATGCCCCCCTGTGTTGTTGCCGTGGGTGGGGGGGGATGCTCATAAATTGACATGGATAGTCATGATCTCGGCCTTAAGCACCGCCTCCCACACAGACAGAAAAGGTTATTGACTGCGGCGCCGCATGAGAGCTCTGCTGAAAGCGAGGGGAAGCTTTTTGTGGTCACCATAAAGCTATGATTGAGTAAAGAGAAGAGGAAGCCGCTGCCAGCCTGCCTGCATGAGTTGGTACTGTCTGGGCCAGGGGTTATGTTCTATTGGATCGAGATATATAGATATGGGTCATATTAAGAATAACACATAAAGCAGACTAGTATTTAATGTGGTCCACTTAAGGAAGCCGGGTAAAGTAAAAAACATCTGCTGCTCTTTTTTGTCTTGATAAGATGGCAAATGTCACCACATATTTGACTTCAAATCCAAATGGTCAGAACTGTATGTGTAAACTTATAAATAACATTTGACTGACTGAGGCCACTCACTTATACTCCGTCCACTTGTTAAGGTATGCCCACCAGAACTGCTTTCCCAAGTATTTAGGTGTATGTTTCTAGTGGTGTTAAGCAAATGCATGGTTACAATTAAATGTGCAAGCTCCATTGTGATATCTATTATTTTGTACTAAATGTTTGTCTCTTAAGTTATAAGAGAACAGGCTTAAGACAACTTATAACTCGTCACAAAGTCAAATATTTAGAAAAGGTGTGGTGCAGACACAAGCTCAGTTATCTGCATCGTCCAAAGCTGGATCACACACATCGAAATTATACAGAGGTAGTCTTCAGAGTGACATCTGGAGTTTGCTCTCCAAGCACATTTTGTGAAAGTCTGAAGAAAGTTAGCATTTGGCTTTTGCAGACTTAATCAATTGTGAATTTGGACAACCTTAGTTCATTGCAGACGTCCTGTAAACACATCGCTTGAGCCTGCTTGTTTGTTAGAGTCCACACATTTGAATATGCCTAATTCTCATTGCTCTCCTCTCTCCTGTATAGCTCCTGACATACCTGTTCTCCAAAGAGAACAACATCTGGGATTCCTCCCTGGACCAAGTGTGTCCTGACAATATGAACAACCCCCTGTCCCAATACTGGATCTCCTCTTCACACAACACGTAAGGATAAAGCTTTCATGCATACATTTCATTATGTCTAGCTACTGTCGAGTTCAAAATGTTGTAATTACGCCTTCCAATACTGTAGTCTGGCATCAGCTCTGAGAACCTCGTGCCAAAGAGGGCTTGAAACTGTCGTCATACATCAGAAAAAAAGTGTATTATTCAACAATCATGTCCAACAATGAGACCCAGTTGTTTATTTAGCAGGAAAATGTATTTTCCCTCCAATTGAAAAGTGTGTGAAAGGCAGTTCAAATGATAACCTTCTGTACGAGGAGCGAAACAATACTCATTGGAGCAGCGGAATGAAAACTTCCCATGAACCTTTGATTAAGTTTGAATTGACCGACTGAATGAGTCGGAAGTGTTTACTCCAGTCAACAAAGAAAGAGAGCCTTTTTGATAAAGCCGTATCAATGTGTTTGTGCCACCACTATAGAAAGTGTGTGTGTGTGTGTGTGTTTGTTTCTGGCCTGAGAAGCCTTTTTAAAAGACTGGTTCAATGCGAGTGTGTTTTTTGTTTGCAAACATTGACGTAACATGATTATTTTTAGCTACCTGACGGGAGACCAGTTTTCCAGTGAGTCGTCCCTGGAGGCGTACGCTCGCTGTCTGAGAATGGGCTGCCGCTGTATTGAACGTACGTAAACACGACATCCACATGCTAGAGTCTGTGTACAGTAAATCATTGCACTTGACGTTCAACCTCATAATTAACTGTCTTACCCGCTTCTTACCCCTGACAGTTGTACCTTTATACAGCTGCCACACCCTTACCCACTTCTTACCCCTGACAGTTGTACCTTTATACAGCTGCCACACCCTTACCCACACACACATTTGCTGTTGCCTAACCCTGTTGTATATGGCCTTTAAACAAAACCCTTGTCAAGCTGGTTTCTATGAATAAGCCTGGCTTATAGTGTGTTAAAGGGTCGCATTACCTCATAGATAAGTAAACAAATATGATGTAAACCTGTGAGTCTGAGTGTAAATCTCTTATAACTACCTGACAGAATAGAAATCATCTGCATTTTTACATACTTACTTTTTGTATCACAGCAGGTATATAATAAGTGTGTTTATTTTTCAGTGGACTGCTGGGATGGTCCAGATGGAATGCCAGTCATCTACCACGGACACACCCTCACAACAAAAATCAAGTTTTGTGATGTCTTGACCACCATCAAAGAGCATGCCTTCGTCACATCCGAGTGAGTCTCCTTGAGCAGAATTCTTTCCGTTTCTTTTTAAAAGCTGTCAGGCGAGAGATCATGAACAAATGAGAGATGACAGCGATAAGGAAATGGCACACACTCTAAATCTCAATCGGAAGCATCTGTGTGGCTGCGCTGACATCATTTCAGTGTGTTTGGTGTGAGAAAAAAAAAAAGAAAATCACACCTTAACAAAGATAGTTATTAGTTGGAACTCATTTATTCTGATCTTCGGTCATCCTGCAGATATCCCATCATCTTGTCCATCGAGGACCACTGTAGTATCGTGCAGCAGAGGAATATGGCCACCCAATTTAAGAAAGTGTTTGGGGACATGCTGCTGACCAAGGCGGTGGACATCGCTGCAGACGGCCTGCCATCACCCAACCAGCTCAAGAAGAAGATCCTCATCAAGGTCAGGAGACACCTCCAATTATACAAAATCATTTGATCTGTTTTTCCTGTATTTTATTTATTTATTTTATTTATAATCGGAAGAATCAGAAACAGGTTTATTACCAGGTAGGTTGACACGTACGAGGAATTTGACTTGGTGTCTTGGTGCATACATAAAAGTAAAACAAAAATAAAAAAACACAGATAGAGAACTATTTTAAGAACACTATAATAACATAAGAGAAAAAGTATAAATGGAGGCTTTTTTATTTTTGTATGTATTTATTTATTTTAACAGGGCCAGTGCACATTAATCAACATTTCTGTAAATGTGCCAGAGTTAGCCAAGAGGCTATTTTTCATCTGTAGTCCCTGGACAGATTTAGTAAATCACCCGAAAGACACATTTCTAAAAAGTAATTCAATCAAATAAAACCATGCAACATGCAGTACTGGGAATGTTAATAAAATACAAATAAAACGGAACAATAAAATAAAACAAAAGAAAATGTTAAAACCCAGGCAGTGTAGACATACAGTGGGTTGTAAGGTGCAGAAGAGTGTGTCAGTGTTGGCAGAGCTGATCCCTGACTAACCATGTTTTGAGTTTTGATTGAAATCAACTGAATGTAGTCTGGTCTCTGATTGTAGCTGGGATTGAGTTCCATTGCTGAGCAGCTTTAACAGAAAATGAAGACTGACTGAAAGAACTTTTCCTGAGTGGATATACAGTATTCTGGTAGTGTAATCTTTCTGATTGCATGTACTTTTCTTCTTCTCTCTCTCCTCTTCTCGTGCTGCAGCATAAGAAGCTTGCAGAAGGCAGTGCCTACGAGGAGGTTTCTACCTCCACTCCATACTCTGAGAACGATATCAGCAACTCAATCAAGAATGGCATCCTGTACCTGGAAGACCCCATTAATCATGTGAGCATGTTTATCAAATGTAAATGGATTCTCTGCTGAGTTTCAGCACGAATGCAACGCTTGAAATATGATGCACTGAAGCTTTTATACCAAGCCTGTGTTGTGTCATAATACCTAAGTGTTTAGATTTGACCTATATTAAAGCACTGACACCATCATCTTGTTTTAAGAACCAGGCCTTCACTTCATAAACGTATTTTCTCGTTAGATTAGATTAGATTCGTTGTAAGAAGGCAGCTTCCTGTGTATTTTGGCCTCTTCTCAATGCAACACATGGGTCTTATGAATATTTAATCTAACCGTCGATCCCCTCTCCCCCCTAGGAGTGGTACCCTCATTTCTTTGTCCTGACCAGCAGTAAGATCTACTACTCCGAGGAGACCTCCAGTAACCAGGGCAACGATGATGAGGAGGAGCACAGAGAGGTTAGTAGGCCGGATCTGCTGCTGATACACATGGAGATGAGAATCACTTGTGTGGTTACCAACTGGATTTGCAACAGGATCTGTGCACAGACATTGCACTTAATTTACATGATGTTCTAGGAGTGCTTTATTTAAAGAGGATAAGGACAGCTTAAATAAATATATATTTTAAAAACCTGTAACAGGATCAGCAAGGAGGCAATTTTAGGCTGGTGCAGCTAAATAAGGCGGACGCATGCAGTTCAAATGAATTCACACTGTGGTGGAAAGAGACCAAGTACATTTACTCAAGCATTGTACCTCAGTACTTTTTGGACATATTTGTTCTTTACTTGAGTATTTCAATTTCATGCTATTTTATACTTCTACTCCACTACATTTTCTACATTTATTTAAAACTCGCAGTTAAAAATGACTTTGTTCATATAAAAACACACGATGTGCTGATATGGTATAATGCAGTACTGTACTACTAATCTACACAGTATCCAAGTATGTCCATTTGGTCCACATTGACAAACTACAATACGAAAATACTCTTGCATGTATAAAAACAGTTTAATATAATAACCATAATAAGAAAATACTGTGAAAATACCCATTCTGCGTAATGTATTAAAGTAAGTTAAGTATTAAGTTATGTATTTTTAGACCGCAGTATTTGTAATTTTACCAACACTGAGCTCACATCAGTTGACCAACTTCTTCTTCTCTAATCCTCCAGCCGTCCAACGGTATGGACCAGCATGTGACGGAGAAGTGGTTCCACGGGAAGCTGGGCGCCGGGCGGGACGGGCGGCAGATCGCCGAGAGGTTACTGTCCGAGTACTGCCTGGAGACCGGAGCGCCCGACGGCTCCTTCCTGGTCCGAGAGAGCGAGACCTTCGTGGGAGACTACACACTGTCTTTCTGGTACGTCAACCATGATACTACCATCAGACTTATTTTTTAAGTCTTCTATGTGTTTGTTTCAGAGTTGAAAGATATTTGTTTGACATTAATAAACTGAATTGAAAATATAAATGAATCACATAGATAGGAAATGGTCATTGAATGCTGTTTACTGTACTATAATGTATATGGGATATTTCTGCAAGTGTCTTTCCAACAATTTGCAAACAAACCAAAGCAACAGCATGTCTCATTTGGTCGCCTATAATGGTGTCGTAGTCCCTTTGCGAATGTTGTGAGGCCCCTAGTGGTGGGAAATTACACATTTGTGGCTTTTACTGTAGAATTATATTTATTTGAAACATTTTTGATATTTACAAAGAGAACTTCATTTGTATTTGCCATCGACAACACAAGATGATATCAAAGTAACATTTATTTTTCATGATCATTTCATTAATTGAATTATTGCCAGTTGCCATTGTTGCCCTTATCTTTGGCTTCTGTATGTTAGTGGGAAACTCTCTGGTGTGTTCTGTGGGGTTAAGCACTGCAGTGCAAATAACAGTGACACAGTGGCAGATCAATCAGTGCCACTCCGTCATTGATTGAATGGGGTTGTGTTCATTCACCTTCTCTCTGCTATTATGCAAAAACGGTGTTAACGTCAAAGCTAATCAATCTGCATGTATGTGATTCACCACAATGTACGGGAACAATGCTGACACGCAGAGGGCATTATGTTCAAGGTTAACAAAGGGGGTGTTTGTTTTTCCTTAACTTGTCTGTCATAACTATTACTTTACTTTAAAAAGAATCACAATTTTCGATTGATTTTTTTTCGTCTTACCAATCTTTGCACCAGGCGTTCGGGGCGGGTTCAGCACTGTCGTATCCACTCTCGTCAGGAGGCAGGCAGCCCCAAGTTCTACCTGACTGACAACCTGGTGTTCGACACGCTCTTCGCCCTCATCAACCACTACCAGCAGGTGGCGCTGCGCTGCAACGAGTTTGAGATGAAGCTGACAGAGCCGGTGCCTCAGACCAATGCTCACGAGAGCAAAGAGTGAGTCTCATCAAGAAACCAATATTCTCTACAAGGCTACAACAATGCCTGACAGCTGTTACTGCTATATCCGTATTATTATTTGATTTATTCATTTGTATGTTTTAAATCATGTTATTTGTATTGACTCTTTTACTTGGAGTTGATTGACATTGTAGACTGGTAGCTGTGAACGTACATGAGGTGTGAGGTGAAACATCTGTAACCATCTGCCGCCTGTCTGTGTTTTGTCGTTTGTCCCAGATGGTACCATGCCAACCTCTCCAGGAGCCACGCAGAAAACATGCTCATGAGGGTCCCTCGTGACGGGGCTTTCCTTGTGAGGAAGAGGGCGGAGGCTAACTCGTTTGCCATTTCCTTCAGGTAACTTTTAATATCCTATTCCTTTGAAAGGTGTGACATGTTTACATCATAAATCATTATTTATTTTCTAACTTCCTTGTTCAATACAAGGTTGACTGAAGAGAAAGGCAATATGTTTTATTAATATAGCGCCTTTCTTAACAATGTTATAAAGTGCTTCACATCAAGAGCAAAAAAGAAAATAGCAAATAAATATAAATCACACAGAGATAAAAGCTTTTTTCAGGAAGTATGTTTTTAAAGAGATTTTAAAGCCATTATTAATTAAGCAACCCTACTCTGAGAAGGTTATAAATTATAGTAAAAATGGTCTTGTTTTTTCAAACTTCTGATAATCCTGGCAGCAGCATTTTGAAGGAGATGTATGGAAGCCTGGGTAATGCATGTGTGAAGACCATTGCAGTAATCAACAAGAGACAAAATAAATCCTAGAACATCATTTATTCACGAAACCAAATCAAAGACATAATGTCTGTGTTTCCTTCACAGGGCCGAGGGAAAGATAAAGCACTGCAGGGTGCAGCAGGAGGGTCAGACCGTGGTGCTGGGCACCTCAGAGTTCGACAGCCTGGTAGATCTCATCAGCTACTATGAGAAGCACCCTCTGTACCGCAAAATGAAACTGCGCTATCCCATCAATGAGGACACACTGGAGAAGATAGGCACTGCTGTGAGTACCGCCACACAATCAGAGGCTCACTGGTTAGAAATTCACATAATGTTGTCTGTGTAAAGTAATATCAAATGTCTGTCTGTAGTTTGCCCTCTGTTGTAAAACCTCCTGCAGCCTACTGAAAGAGCTTATTGAAACATAATCTGTTGTCCAATAGGAGCCGGACTACGGGTCACTGTACGAGGGCAGAAATCCAGGCTTTTACGTGGAGGCCAACCAAATGCCAACATTTAAGGTGAGTGTTCAGTCTGAAGGAGTTAGTGTGTGGAGAAAATCTGCAACTGGACATGCATATAGAAAGATGTGTGTCTCAACCTTATGTCTTGTCTTTCAGTGCACAGTGAGAGCCATGTACGAGTATAAAGCCCAGAGAGACGACGAGCTCTCCTTCATTAAGAACGCTGTTATCTCTAATGTAGACAAACAGGAAGGAGGATGGTGAGTGACTCTTAATTATCCATTAAGATCAATTATATTCGTGCAGGTAGAGACAGTGAAGCGTTCTGACGGGGGGGAATTATACAGGGTACGACTATAGGATAGGATAAAGAAAATCCACCATTTTAATATCAACCCAATAGAGTGGTGCAGGAATCCTAAAACCCAGAAATGATTCATCATTTGACCACGTCCGCTCTTAGTCAAAAAGATTGTTTGTGGTTGGATTCCTGAAATAAGATTTGTGGCTAACACAAGCTTCAGAGTTTTTTCACATTAAGTTCTACGACGTACATTTTCTTCAGTAATTAACCCACTCGTAAATGTCCAGAAGTGACTAAATAAATGACTAAACGCCATCATGCGCTGGTGATGCAGGCATGCGACCATGATGTATTTTGTTTATAGAGTAATGATAGCTTTTTACTTCTGGCAACAGATTTACACAAAAAAAATCCCAATGCGGTGTTCATATGTGGAGCTGATCAGAACTTGTTAAGTATCTTACATGTATTTTTGCTCATTTTAGGTATACTTTGTTTCAACTATCATCTCCTCCCATTGTTTTTCCTCTCAGGTGGAAGGGTGACTGTGGAGGGAAGAAGCAGCTGTGGTTTCCTGCTAATTATGTGGAAGAGATCAGTCCATCAGCAGTGGAGCCCGATAGAACTGTGAGGAACAAACCCAGTATATTTAAAGTGGAATCGGTGCACCTGCAACCGTCCACAGAACGTTTGGGTCGTCCTCTTTCCTGATCCTCATTCTCTCCTAATCCTCATTCTCTCCATCAATGCAGGAGATGACAGAAAACAGCCCCCTTGGAGACCTGCTGAGAGGAAGTGTGGACGTGTCTTCCTGTCAGATCGGTGAGTGGCTTCGCCGCTTCCTGTCCGACTCTGTCACCATGGCGCAGGGTCAACCCCCTTTTTTGGCTTCTAATTCATGCACAACATTTCTGCCCTCTTTATTTTAAATGGGCAAAGTCACCGCTTTTATAGTCGTTTGTGTCCATTATCAACCTCTTCTATTATTCATTCTGCACCATTTGGTTTTATTTCTATCCTTGCTTTTCTCTCAGCTCTGTATCTGGTATTTTATTGACATCCTACTGTTTAGTCAATACACACCCATTAGTGTTGGCACATGCTGTCATGCGTTGTTGTAGCCTCTTCTGACCACACTTAATACCTGAGCCCGGCTCTCTGCGTTGGCTCTTTGGCGCCATCTAGTGGTGGTCCGGGGAGATATTGAACAACATCCTCTCGTACACTTTGTTCCTTCACATGACCACTGGCACAGTCACAGCAGTTGAAGCCATTGTGGAGAAAGTGATGACGGTGAACCTTGTGGCAGAGCTGCTGTTTTTCTTGCACACCACTCGCTGATGTGCTCAGAATCAGAATACCTTTATTAGTCCCACCGAGTGGACATTTACATTGTTACAGCAGAAAAGAGCTTAATGTTACCTAAGAAGCATGCATACAAAAATATTAAAGATACAAAAATGATAATCAAAATTACACAATTTACAAAATACACATCCTGTAACAGTTCTGATGATTTAGCAGCCAGGTATATATTGCACAGTTATTAACGGCATATACATATATTGCACATAGTTGGTATTTAACAACAAGGGGTGTTATAGTCTGTGTTGTTGTGTGTGGGGGGGCTCTACCAGGGGCCGTGGTTATACAGTCTGACCGCTGCAGGAAGGAAGGACCTGCGGTATCTCTCCGTGAGACACCGCGGGTGCTCGAAGTTTATATTATTTAAACTTTGAAGGCACAATGAGAATGATGTTCCAACAAAACAATATATGGACTCATACATAAATAATCCCTTTGACCCATCCATTATGACCCACCAGAACTGATTGGCGGTGTCTGTATCTGCAGAGACAGATTTTTTATATTTTCTTAAGTATGTATCCAAAGTCATGGGGGACATGGCATGGACAAAAAAACATTATTTAATATATTGCTTTAACATATAGAGAGGTGAAATGCCAGTTGGAGAAATCTTTCTTTTGAAATGATAGTGTATCTGGGGTCGGCTTTCCCCCACTGTGGAGTACCATAAGCCTTGCTGAGCCAGGGGGGAGGGGCCCACTTTGAGTGTTATGTTTACAAGCTGCAAATGAAAAATGCAAGTACCTATTATGCTTGACCTTGTTTGCCTCCAACCGTTTTAAAAGCAAGTCCAATTCAGATTGCAAAAGACTAAGATGTTTAAACTCAAAAAAGCCTCAGTGTTTTTTTATGAAGACCAATTCAACAGTAGTTTAAACTGATTCTGTAAAAACAATTATAACCTGCAGACAAAAGCATTTTCTCTCTCTATATCTGCCATTTGCTCCTTTTCACTTACATATTTGTTATTTGTTAGTATTTTATAAAATGTTATAACATTTTCATAGATGCAAGCAAATTAAAATGATTTGATATTCCTGATGGCAACACGGTCTGGTCTGAGCTCAAATAGGTATTTCTTACATTTCTAGTTGTGCGTCCTGATGGGAAGGGCAGCCGGCCTCATGTCTTCTCCCTGGTGCCGAGCACCTCCATGCGGACCGGCCCGGTGCTGGACGTCGCTGCCAGCACCCAGGAGGAACTCAAGGAATGGGTGTTCAAGATCCGTGAAGTCACAATGACATCAGAGGCCAAGGTAAATATATATATATATATCTACCACATGGCTGACAGAGAATGCAGGTCAGGACTCATACCACGCTCACGCCGCTCAGGACTTGTGTTTGCCCTTTAATACCGATAACCTCACTGAGCAGTGAGCTCATATGGTGTTTGTCAGGAATGCCATTCTTCAAAATCACACCGTTACACATTTCACACCTGGAAGCTTTCTGGTTTTACCTGAGCAGTATTTGTTGAGGGAGGAAAAAAGCTTTAGGCAGTGTTCGCGTCAGTGATTTGAAATGACATGCGATACTGTTGGAACAGCTGTATTTAAAGTATGTGTCCCTCTGCACAGCTGGAGGAGGGGAAGATGATGGAGAGGAGGAAGAAGATTGCACTGGAATTATCCGACCTGGTCATCTACTGTAGGCCTGTGCCATTTGACGAAGACAGTAAGGATAATGCACACTTATTGGACTGTTAACATAACACATACAAATACTAATAATACTTAATAGTACAAATTCAGTATTACATTCTGTCCTCTGTCTCTGCCTCCTGTAGAGATTGGCTCAGAGCGTGCCTGTTTCCGGGACATGTCATCCTTCCCCGAGACCAAGGCAGAGAAGTACGTCAACAAGATCAAGGGGAAGAAGTTCCTGCAGTACAATCGACTGCAGCTGTCCAGGATCTACCCCAGAGGACAGAGACTAGACTCCTCCAACTACGACCCTCTGCCCATGTGGCTCTGTGGGTCCCAGCTGGTAGCACTCAACTTCCAGACAGCAGGTAGAAGCCGCCCCGTAGGAGCAGATGAAATTCTAGATGTGCGATAATGGGCATCGGCAATTAAAGGCTTTAAAATCAAATCTCAGCATCAGCCAAATCCTATTTCAATATTGCCTCAGGAACGGCATCATCAAAACCTGTTAAAATAGCACGACATTTGGTATCACAATAATGTGATGTTTAACAGATAACCTAGATGGCAGCAGTTTTCTTAGTTTGCCCAGAGATGTGTATATTTTGAAATCTGTTGTGTTTTTGCCTGCATCAGCCATCACTATAATAGTAACCATAGTAATATGTTAAATCAACTACAGGGGAGAATTGTTGTTCTATGTGCATGTATCGGCATCAGCCAAATCTGATATCGGGTAGCAACTCCTTGTATAAAAAAAGCAAAGAATATGTTTGTTTTCTTAATCTTTTTAACGTTTTTTATTTACCTTTCCTCTTCCCCCCCTGTGCAGACAAGCCCATGCAGATGAACCAGGCTCTCTTCATGCTGAACGGAAAGAGCGGCTACGTCCTGGAGCCGCCCATCATGAGGGACGACAACTTTGATCCCTTCGACAGGCATACGCTACGAGGCGTCGAACAAATCACCCTCGAGATAGAGGTAGAGCAAAGACAGATTTGGACTGTGTTCGCACGCACGAGTGATGCCCTTGTGCAGTTGTTTTCAAACTGCGAGGTGCTCCTCTCCAGCGGGAGAGTATAAGAGACACTGCATGAGGTGAAATGGACGGGTGCATGCGCGTGTTCTAAAAATAGCGCTAGGTGGTTGTTGTTGGTTGGCCACTGATTTGAGTCGTTAATTACCAAGGTCAAGTCCTGCAGCAGCAGCTGTGACACACAACTCCAAATAAGGTCCTTTTAAAAGCCCTGCTCACACTCCTCTTGATAAGAACTCGGTTAAATCTGAATATACAGATATGACACACATATTTTTAGATTCAGCGTGACACTTCACAAGGATTTCAAGAGCAGTTGTCTGAATTGTGTGTGTGATGGTTTGCCAACAGTGTCAGACTGCCATAGGGGATGTGTTTGTATTCATGCTCTGAAACAAGTGTAAAGATCTGAAGGAGCAACCTGTTTTCCTCTCCCTCCTCTTCTGAAGGTTTTGGGCGCCCGGCACTTGCCCAAACACGGGCGCGGCATAGTTTGTCCTTTGATCGAGATCGAGGTGTGCGGGGCGGATTACGACAGTGCCAAGCAAAAAACTGACTCGGAAGGTGAGCGTTACTCTGACTTTTACTATGGGTGTGTCTGACAGTAATGAAGTGATACTCTGCCAAAACTGAAGGAAGGAGTAGTTACTGTTTACTGGATACATTACCCTCGTGCAATTTCCTGCTCCAAGAAAAACAGGAAGTTGTACAAACAACTTAGCCATGTGTGGGAATACAAAGAGAACACATCAGACACAGTTCAAACAGCTGTTATCAGGATTTAGACAGATAAGTAACATTGTTCAAATACGTTTTTACAAATGTGTTTCTTCGCTTTGTGTTATTGATGTTCTTAGCCACTTACTGTACTCTTGTTATTAAGAAAGGATGCTAAAGACAAGTATTTACACCAAATTCAAATGTAACTATACAAATAACCTTAAACCTTTTAACAGTGATAACATTAGTTTTGTATAGCATACATTCTAAATAATGAGTATGCTTTTATTCTCTGCTGTTTGCTCTCCATTTATGGTTGTCTATCTGCAGTGTGGTTCTTCCAGCAGAAGACACAATTAGCCAATGCAAAATAAACTCCCTGAAGGAATAAGTCCTAAAATCCTTAAATCAGTGTTTTTGAACTTGCATCTCCTTTATCTTGAAGTAGATGTTTTGAATCGAATAGGTTTAGAGTCAGATGTCTAAAAATAAGGTCTGTGGTTAACACAAGTCTAAGAGATTTTCAACTTTTGTTTACGACATGTCAGTAAATTCCCCACCACACAAAAAGACTTGCTGTCATCGGGAACATTAGACGTCAACACAACAAACACTAGTCTGCCTTTAGCTTGGTGGTGGGACATCAGCTCATGGGACAGTGGAGCGGATGTGCTTGATGGGCCTGCAGTTACGCTTTAAAATTCATAAAAAGTGTTTTTCATTAGTGAAGAACATCTTGCTGAAAAAACATGTAATTTTCGTGCTTATTTTGTGTAATATTAAAAAGTCTGATGGCTTTTTCTTAAAGGAATCAGGAATCAATAATATGTCATCCCTGCAACACTCCATAGCCCCTGTTTCTTTCAGTGTAATTATGCTGAATTTTGACACATGGATGCAATTGTCTAGACATTTTAAGTTTTAAGTTATTGCTGAATGTTGTTTTTTTCACTGCTGTTACTGGGGGAAAGAATTGTTATACTGTTACTGTTATTGTTACAGTTGAGACACCAGTGATGATACATATTTGTACATTTCTCAAACTTCTCTGTCCATCTTCTTCTTGTCCTCTCCAGCTGATAACGGGCTGAACCCCACGTGGCCCCGAAAGCCATTCGAGTTCACGATATGCAACGCTGCCTTTGCCTTCCTGCGCTTTGTGGTTTATGAGATTGACATGTTCAATGACCAAAACTTCCTGGCTCAGGCCACATTCCCCATTCACAGCCTCAAGACAGGTAGACACAGATTGAATGTGCTCTCAGAAATGACCCTTATATCCGGTTGGGGATCAGTGCTGTAAGATACGTGTCTTTCTGCAAACACCAGGTTACCGGTCGGTCCCTCTGAAGAACAGCTACAATGAGGATCTGGAGCTGGCTTCCCTGTTGGTCCACATGGACATCATCAGTGGCCGGGTGAGTGACTGTTCTTTACCAAATCCTGCTCAGTGATGCTTCCGCCCACAACAAACCCTACAGGCACCGAAAACATGAGCAAAGCTAGCTGACACATTTCACATTGTTGTGGTCCTCTCCTTTCGTTATTGGAAACTATGACTAGAAGACGAGAGGAGGAGGAGCCAGCACCAACGTCTTTAAACTCCAACTTTGACTACATCGACATGCAATATGTTGACGTAAAAAGGCAATCTAGGATGTAGTTTAAAATATGAATAAACTACCAAATTCTCTCTTTGTTTTTGATGACAAATAAGAGGAGACAAAGTTATTACGCATTTGATAAAGCACTAAGAGTTAAAGATTCTGGTGAACAAAAATAGACCCATCATTTGTTCATACTGTCTTAAAGAATTAAGTTTAAGACGGTCAATTTGAAGTTGGATGTTACATAACAATTTGTTTTTAGACCAGTGTTGATCTCTGTCAACAACAGTCTAATATACAAATCAAACACATTCGATAATATGTGTATTTTAGTAGGTTTTAGAGGTGCTGATAAGATAAGTAGGCCGTTTCCCTATTTTCTCAAAATATATAATATATCTAACTATTCCTTCAAAATGAGCCTGTTTGTTAGTTCTATAGGATACAGTCCCAAGTGTACAGATAACCACAGTCCCATGAACACTGTAGAGGTATGTAGAGTTGACATTTTGTTTCGTCTCCCCTCCTGTTTCTCTCAGGATGAAAACGGGGAGGTTCTGAGCCCGTTCATCGCAGTGGGGGCTGCGTCAGTGACGGCATCCTCCCCATCTGGGCGGGAACGTTCGGTGGAGTCCGTGTCCTCGACGTCCTCCAACGTGTCCCCTGTGCCCCAGTCCCCGGCCCAGGCCCAGGCCTACAGGGAGGGCTCATTTGAGTCCCGCTACCAGTCCCCTCTGGAGGACTTCAGGGTGTCCCAGGAGGCCCTGTTGGACCACATGGACCCCCAGAACAGACAAACAAGGTACATATGAGGTGATCTAGGTTTTTTAAGCCTGTGCGGTGCGTTTTGTATCGGTGGAAGATTCCAGACATCCTCCTGTCTTTGTTTTTACCTCAGGATGCTGCGGAGGACCAGAGTGGGCGGAGAGAACCGTGTCTGAGTCCAAGCCAATCAGGACACATTTCTGTTGCACCCCCCCCCCCCACCCGTCTATCTCCCCCCACCCCACCCCCCCTGTACCCAGTCGCCTCTCCCCGTACTGATGATGTCACTGACTGCTGTGAACACTGTTTCCATGGAAACGCCCACCACCGCTTTGGCCTACATTTCAGGCAGCTCTCTCACCCTCCATTCTCCAAACCAACTCCTCTCTCTCTCTCTCTCCCCCTCTCTCCCACCGCCCAGCCCTCTCACCACTCGCCTGATGGGAAGGAGGGACTCGGACACAAGAGTAGAGGGAGGACCGCTGAGAGGAAGCTGACCGTTGGGACAGGAAGAAGAAATTGACATTCATGGGAGAACAAAAACAGGCTGGAGTAGAGTCCCGCTCTGGGCTGGTTGTGAGAGGACGGGCTGCCCTCTCTTGGTTTTAGGTGTGCCCAACATCTGCCTGTTTGGAGGCTAAGAGGAGGGAAATAGAGAGTTATAAAAGGTATCAGTTTGAAACTGTTCCCCAGTTAAGTTTCTTTGCTCTTCTCTCTATTAGTCGTATATGAATATATGTATTTATTCCTGCTGTGCTGTTGGCCGGAGAACAGCAGCAGCTGACCTGCTCTCAAAGAGCTTCTTTCTCCATGTTTTTAATTATTCTAATTATTTAAGCCTTTAAAACATTCATAATGTGACTTTTCATTTTTTAAATGTATATGTGTAAAACACGAGGGCTCTCTACGGCTATTTCAATGTCTCTCTGCTTCATAGAGGAAATTACCGCCTCCAGTCAAACTCACACCATAACCCTGGGGGAATATCTCACCCTTTTTTTTTGAAGGCATCAGGAAGAAGTCATAGCCTGTTTGTGTTGGAAGAAGTGAGAGCGTATTATCTGCACACACAAACACACATGCATACATTTTATTTCTAATTTACATTCCAAGTATCTGCACATCATTCCATATTCCTGCTTCGCAGGTGCCTTTACAAGCCAGTCTGACACACTCCTGAGTTCCTCCAATCATCAATCATGTCATCATCACACTGTGTGATGAAGCCGGACAAGGGATACATGTTGTCCTACGATAGGTTGAAGTCCAATTGATATTTTAGTTTATAATGATCAGGGTAGTGTCTGAATGGTTACCCTTGATTAGCGAAAGCTTAGTGAACACTCCCACAGGACTAATCCTTACCTAAATACAAAAAAATGTTCCTCTTTACGATTTTTAGCCTGCATTCTCTTCCAAAATGTAAATGGGCCTTATTAAGTGCTGCACAGTCATCTTGTGTATCAGATGATTGTTCATTGGCTGCAAGGTTACAGCTAAAATAACAATACTGATAACTGATCATTTTTAAAACAGCTGGTTTGAGGAACACAGTTCTAACCTCATTTGACATAATTTTCGGTGACAGGAAACATTGTAAATGTGTCACTTTCAAAAATGTACCATACTGTAAATACAGTCAGGCTATTAACATTGCAGCCTTTTGATTATGTGATTTATGATTGAATATTTCAGAAATGTGGATATTTTTACTGACATTTCAGGCGTAATAGAATTTATGGCCGCTTTTTATTCTGTATTTTTTATTTGTTGAGCATAACTATTCCCATACCTAACACAGCTCTTTGACTACAGTGAATGAACAACAGTCCCTGTTTCACATTTTGAGTTTAAGTTTAAACGGATGTCTCTAAGTAGAGGTTTTCGAGGTCCAAATGTGTTTTACTGCAACCGGCTTATTTGTTTTTATTTGTCAGCATTTGTGAGGTAGGAGTTCCCTGTGTTTGAAAGGAAATGAAGTTTTGTTGACCAAGTGGGAGCGTTTGCATTGCCGTTGTAAAGAAAACATCCCATATACACCTCATGAGAACGTTTTGATGCAGCACAAAAACATAAGGGACCTTTTGTGTTTGTGCTGCCACGGTGTTTTAGTCCTGGGGGAGTTCTGTCGCAGCACAAAGCTGCTTCCCAGAAAGCTTTGAGGATTTTTTTAAGTCGCACTGCTACAATAAACATTAAATTGCAACTGCCCCTGAATTTATCTGTGATGAAATGTGCAAAATTCAACGTGTAAGCAACTGGATAACAGCTCAAAAATGAATGTCAAATGCTACGTGTTGCAATTCATTCCCAACTTTAAATTCCCTTTCTGGCTTCGACTCATAAATGTTTGTCTGACTTGCTAATTCAGACTTCTCCTGAGCAAAATGTTGGCGTGTTTTAAAAGTGCAGGGGTTTTTCATGACCTTTGTTTGTGGAGTGAGAGCCTCTTTGGGTGGAGCAGAGTGTAAGCTTCAGATTTAGCAGTAGCTGTGTTTCTGTGGCTGGCGGAAGACGCGTATATAACCAACGGTGTTATCTTTCCAGGTTCGTATCAGAAACAGTGTTTCCTCTGCTTTTATGTGATGACTATGTGATGTAAACTCAGTATTCTCAGTCAGTGTTTGACCACTGAGACACACCTAAGCCATAGGGTATGATTTATGCTAAGGTAAAAGCAGGGACAGGAGTAAATACTTAAGTCTCAACTACATTCTTTTAGCATCTTGTGTTTGCAGCCTCATATTGATTCCAAGGCTACCCCATATTACAGTTGTTTTTTTCTTTCCGTTGTCTTTATGGAGAGCTCTCCCTCCAATGCTGCATTGCTCTTATTGCCGTCTGCTCATGTCTGTGTGCCTCTGTCTGTGTACACATCAGCACAGCCACATCATTCACCTTGTACACAGCCACGCTACGCCCACGCAGCCGCTCTCACTTATTCTCTCTGATCGGCCTCCCGTCAGCACTGTGAGCGAGCGACTGCTGCTCAGTTTGTCATACCGGTTATGGCGGGACATCGTGAACTCCCATCAACCTGTAAAATGGTCTAGATCAACCAGACTAACTAAAAGCATCTCTGTGGGTGTGCAGGGCCCATTAGCCTAATTTGTTTTCACATTTTCTTTGCTCCAATTATGTGTTTTGTTACCGACTGTCTCATTTACTATCGCCTTTCTGTAATGTGCCTAAACTATGGAGAGGAAAAGTATTCATTTTAATTTTGCCTTTCATATGAAACATATTAAATCCTGAAAAGTAAATAAAATACTTACTACTTTATGCCGTTGTCTTATTTTCATTGCATTTATATTGAATCTGGTGCATTTTTTTTTCTACAGTTAAATGTTCACTAATTGCATCACTGAGAATTAGTTTCATCAACCTCAGATACTGCACCACAGGAAGAGTGTAAACAGCTGCCTGAGATGATTAGAAGAAACGATCATTTTGACGTTCGATAATTACGTTTTTTTTTTGTGCATGGTCCTTGATTGTAAGGACTTGTTATTTTCTTGTGGGTTTACACTGCTGTTTGGACAAATCATGTCGTTTTAAAGTTGTCACCTTGAGATTTTGGAAGGTGTCACTATTTGTTCTAGTCGGGCGTTTTGTGCTATAATTAACGAGGACAGCCAATGATGGGTGAAGGAGATGGGGAGGTCAAGGAGCCAGACTTGTTACAATTCATCCTCAATGTATTAAACCCTCAGGCCATGTTTCTGATGTTTCATATACGAAGTTATCAAGACAGATCTGTATATCAAATGTAAATTATTGTTAGTAGCAAACATAAACAAGAGGCTCCCTCATAACTAAAGCGTTATTGTTTATAGTCAAGATCAGGCATAACTACCCCCCCCCCTCCCATTATTGTACACCATTAGGAAGAGTCTTGAAGCCACATATTTATTACATTCCGTTTATTCTGCAAATGACATCTGTAAAAAGTATACATCAAGCCTAAGTGTGGAACACTGGTGAAAGTTCAGTTATTTTACAGTACATTTTATTTCATAGGAGAGCCCCATAAAAACAAATGTACGTACATGTGAGTGACGTAAAGATGCACTCGATGCTACAGCACAAACCAGATTCCATATAGTCTACGTGTCGCATTTTGTTTAAACAGGGTGCTTGCCTTCTTAGGATAACGGAATTCAAAAAAATGTATTTTCACCAAACTGGACAATTTAAATGTCCTAGATATGAAAACAAAAAAGATCTCTAAAAAAGACAAAGTTTAAATGAAAATCAATGCTGAGTTCCACATTTACACTATGAACAGCCTTGCTAGCACATTTAAAGTAAGCTGCAAGCATGAAGACAAAGTGTATGAGTGCAGGTTGTTGGAAAAGGGGAGTATGAAGATGGCACAATGGAAAAGGTCATTTGATCTACTTTAAGGCCTTTAAAAGGCAAGCACCCTGTGGCTAAGAGCTGTGCAGTATTTCGTACCCCAAAACAAACTATGAACAGGCTGTTAACACTCTTTCGATCCTTGTCCGAGTGTTGATTTGGTCGATGACTGTCCAAAAACCTAACCCACCCAATGCTCCTTATCAACATCTGCTGAGGTCCCGCCACTTTCTCCCTTTGCTCCCTCCAAAACCACCCCTTTCCCCCCCCCCTTCCTTTCTCCCGTCACAGCAGGCAGGCGGAACAAAAACGGTAGAAAATATTCGGGCCCCTCCTTCCTCTCCTGCACTTCAGCCTCTACTGGGACTTCCTTCTGAGGGGAAAATGGCGGACGGGAGAGTTCTGGAGAAGGTCTGTGTAGCGGAGGGGTGGATTCAGCAGGAGGAGGGCAGGGAGTGGGTGGATAAGAGGCGGGGGGGGGGGGTTAGTGGCTTTAGTGTCCATCTCATGTGGTGGGGGATGTCATGCCTACCTCTAGGGGTGTGAGAGAGGGATGGGTGGGGATGGCTTCAGGGTCCATTTCCCTCCAGTGATCCCGTTACAAGCACATCTGCCGTCTTTTCCTCAGACTACCGACACAAAGACCACCTGCGTTGTGAACTCCATCCTCAGAAAAAAAGAGCCTCTTCAATCTGTTCCTGTAGTAACAAAAAACAAAAAGAAATTAGAAATCCATCGCCCTGACAACATGCTCCAGAGGACAAGAATAAATGTTCTTTATTTATACACAGTGTACTGGTGGCAGGCACCACATGCCTGCCACAGCACGCCTCGGTACACATCATTATGAACATTGTGTGTTTTCCTGTTTCACCTTAGACAATTATCCATGTTGTAATTCATATATCATATAACCAGTGTCACCCTAGCTCTATCACTTTCTCCCATCACAATTGGACAACCTAATTTTGTATTAACTCGTAACAAAGCCTGAATAGTAACCCATAGTATGTTTTTGGGAGAAAAGGTTGGAAATGTAGAAAAGATAGTCAGTGCGGTAATGAATAGAGAACGCATGTCGAGTGGATATCAAGTCTCCGTGGTGTCAGTAATCAGTCGATTAATCACAGATGGTCCATCGAAAAATAAATAATCTGCAGCTTTTCCAATAATCGTTTCAGTTAAGCAAATGTGTTAAATACTGCAGTTCGGTTTGTTGCTTCCTTTGTCACATTTGATAGCAAATTAAATATGTTAAGATTTTTGAAAGGTTGGCTTGCGCTTGTGAATGCCATTTGTAAAAAAAACAACTTTTTACATTTAATAGATTCATCTAGAAAAAAAAAAGTGTTATACTCTGCTTGTTGACTTGCAAGGATGTGATGACTGTATGTATCACACTAAAGATTGCTGGTGAAACGAAGACTACCTTTAGTGGGATTCACAGTCTCGTCAGTGTTGGCCTCCTCTGCTTCTGTTGCGACACCACACACCGACTGCTCCATTTTCTCCTCCGTCCCTCCTCCTGGCTGCGGCTCCGGGGGGGAGGATCCTGTAATTCGTGGCTCAGCGTCTGCTGCGACTGCTTTGGGTTCTGTCTCCTGAGCAGCAGCCGTCTGTTCCAACAGAGGCAAAGACGCTGTGGTAGAGAACCAGTGTCGTACCAAGTCTGCTGTTAAACCACTAGCCTGAGCTAGTTCCTGCAACTGTGCACAAAGAATAATCTGTTTTAAAGGACAGGGAGGATACATTTTTTAAAAACCTAATTAAAGCTTGTCATACTTCACGTAGCTTAAGAGCAGCCACCGTTATCACAAGTGACAATTACAGGTTGACAGTAAATGCTAAAAACCTGTGTCCAAAAGCATAATGAGGCATTCATAAAAAATGTTGCTTATAATCAAAAGTTCTCTTATTTGTTTTGTTTATAACTCACATTAATAGTCGAAATGATTTGCTTTATTTCAGAAAACAAATAATTGTGAAAATCAAATCCCATTAAAAAAAAAAAGATGGGAAGAAAATGACTGACTGAGCTCAATTAAAGAAAGATGATGCCGATACGTGAACTGATTTTGAAGCAGTGAAGAACATTTTCTCCCACAGAGCCGTGGTAAAGGTAAGATGTGTGAAGACTGTAAAATGTCCCGTTGTATCTTGTATCATAGCAGTAAAGATGCATCATCTGCCTCTCAGATGTCTGTTGTTTAAACCAATTGAATTGCTCTTCCGTTCTAAATGTGTTAACACTATTTGTCGTCTCCTTACCTGTGACTCCTCCAGGCTGCTGTAGGTGTCGCGGTGGGCCTGCAGGATCTCTATGTTCTCCTTCTGGAGGTCCTCTTCCAGAGCCATGGTCTGGTAAGCCTCCAGCCACTTCAGCTGGCCGTTCTTCTGCACATAACGGCAGTCCCCAAACCAGCGCACCACCTCTGGTCGGGGCAGTCCGGAGCAGCAGATCAGGTCATCGTACTGCGCGGCGCTGGGCCACTGGGTACGAGCGTACACTTGTTTGAGCTGTTGCAGCTGCTCCGCGTTCTTCTTACCTCGTAGGGCTGTGGGTTTGGGGGAGTTGGATGGTTTGTGTGTTGGGGTGGAGGGTTGGGATGGTTTGGGGGTGGTGGCTGGAGTGAGGCCTGGGGAGGATGCAGGTGTGTTACTGGAGTGCAGCGGGCTATCCAAGCCTTCACCGTCTTCTTTGCTGTTGGCCTCCGTCACCTTTAGCATCTTCAGGTTGATTTTAATAGGGTTCACTTTCAGTTCTCCTGAGCTGTCCTCTTTCTGTCTCTCCTCCCCATAGACTTCCATCTCCCCCTCCTCCTCTCTCAGCACCCGCTCAGCCTCCTCTTTCTTTTTCTCGGCTGCCAGCCTCTTCCTCCTGTCAGCGAACCAGCCATGGATCTCCCTCCTGGTCATTTTTGTCTCAGATCGCAATCTGTCCACTTCCTCTCCTGTCGGGTCTGACTCCTGGCAAAAACTGGCCTCTAGAGCTTTCAACTAAACATAAGACAGGAATGGAAAAGGTCAAAAAAGGACTGAGTAGATTTAGCAAGAAGGATAATCGGCACAATTTAAGATTTTTCTTTAGGCACTTATCTAAAGGCATTTCAACGTTTTAAAACTGTATGCAATAACACTCCTGAAAAAATACCCGTAAACAGACAAACATTTTGAAATAAGTTGAATTATTTCAAAAATGTTTTAACTTAATAATAAAAAGTCAGTTTCAGCATTAGTACTGATTGATCACAGTAAAAACATTGTCAGCCTCCAAGCATTGAATCCCTATAGTTTCTTACGAACCAATAGCCTCACCTGATGAGGTTCTCTCTCCTTGTAGCGGATAGCTGTGAAATCTGGAGAAGGAGCTCTGGGGAGTCGACGGGAAGGTGTGGTGGGAGAGGTTGGAGTCTGTGATGCAGTCGGGCTCAGGGGGGCCAAGCTGTGCTGGGGAGTTTTTGAGCTTGAGTTGCTGCTGCTCTCAGACAGATCCACAGGTTGGGCGCCGCCAGCAGCTCCGCCCCCTGCCGTACCTGAAGCGCTCCCTGCTGCCCCCGCCTTACTCTGCGCCCCTGTGCTGGAGCGGGACCCTTTGAGGTTGCGGAAGTGGTAGCGCCGGTCACTGAACCACTTGCGGACTTCTCGTACTGTGAGCCCGGTCAGAGCGATGAGCCGGTCAACCTCCTCCTGGTCGGGAAACTGGCAGACCAGAAAACTGTCCTTCAGGTGGTTGAGCTGCTCCTGAGACTTTTTGCCCTTATAGAAGCTGGGGTCCAGGAACGCGTTCACAGACATCCGAGATGCAGGTGAGGGGGAGGGAGACTTTGAGATGGGGGAAGACGCCTCCTCCATTTTGATGGCTGGAGAGTTGCTGGTGGTGGTTTCGACATCATGCGTGTCATTTTTGATGCGGCTATCTTTGG